ACAGGGGAGGGTTTGAGTTAGGGACAACGGCATATAATGATCTACTTGACTGTGCTTGCAAGCTTTGTAGGAAAAAGGATCCGTTCAGACTTCACTCTGAAGCTGAGGAGATTCTGGTGGAAATGGATTATCGTGGGGTTCCACGAAATGTGGAAACCTTCAATGTGCTGATCAATAATTTGTGCAAGATCAGGAAAACTACCGATGCATTAGATTTGTTTCATCGAATGGGGGAGTGGGGATGCCATCCTAATTCTGAAACGTTCATTATTTTGACTAAAAGTCTGTATCAAGCAGCAAGGACGGGAGAGGGAGATGAAATGATTGACAGGATGAGGTCTGCAGGACATGGTGATGCACTTGATAAGAAGACTTACTATGAGTTTCTAAACACTTTGTGTGGGATCGAGAGGATTGATCATGCCTTGACTGTCTTTGAAAAAATGAAGGAGGAGGGGTGTGAACCTGGGATTAAGACATATGAGCTATTAATGGCAAATCTCTGTGCTCATAATCATCTGGACAAAGCAAATTCACTCTTTATTGAAGCTCAAAAACGGGGAGTGCCAGTTCCAAAAGCATGTCAGGTGGATCCAGGATATGTGAAGATGCCAAAGGTAAAGAACGTCGAGAAGAAGAGGGAGACGTTGCCCGAAAAAATGGCGAGGAAGAGGAGGCGACTGAAGCAAATTTGACTTAGTTTCGTTAAGAAACCGAAAAAAGCCATGCGCAGAGCATTTTGATCCTGCTTTCTTTTGCAGCTGCCCCGAACACGGGACAATGGCAGCTTTGACATGCCATTTCATTATATTGGACAAATGAACACGATTATATGTATAGTGGATCAAAATTCCAGGTTCGTTTAGGAAGAGAATGCTGTATTGTTTAAAAATCTTCCCTTATTCTGGTCATAGATAAGCATCGATCTATCTTCAGAGTGTAAAATGAAGGTACTTCTTGTTCATATTTGATTATAACTGATGCTGAGAACACGTTAGTTAATACTCGAAACATAGCTGGTTCTGCTTCTTTAGATTTTCTCTTGGTGATGGCTCATAATGTTTTTGTTGAATGAGTTATGCCTTTGTGCCTACAGTTATGCCGATTGTTGTTGTTACATTGTTCTGTCCAAGTCCACTCCTAACTAATATTGTTTTTTGAGATTTCTTTTAAGATTTTTAAAATGAGAAATTTTTACTTCCTTGTAAAGAGGGTTTCATTCTTTGTCCCCATTTGAGTGGGATCTGACAGTTTGAACTTTCATATTGACAATTGCTTCCATGGGTTGCGGTTATTTGTGCCGATTGAGTAAAGTTAGCAAGAAATTGCAACATTTAGCCGAGTATAGGATCAATAGGATCAAGAGTTTAGAGTGAAAATTAATACAATGTGATTCGTTCCAACCATAAATAACACTCCATGCGAGTGAACTTTGAACAGTGAACTAGGCTTCCCAACGAATCGTCTCGATCTATTGCGTTCATCACTACATGACAAGCACACTTGAGGAGACATGGAGACAGGGAGACATTCCCAGGCTGAAAGCGTCATTTTCTCTCGTTTTCTTCACACTAGGAAAAGAAAATTGATTATATTTTGTATATCAAAAGAAGAATGAATGATTGGGTTTGGTTTCAGAATTGATATCTAATAAATAAAATGAGTCGTATCAAAATAAATATATTGAATTTGCAAAGCAAGAACAGCAAAAATCAAATGAATGGCCACCGACAGAAATACGATACAATATGTGGACCAAAAACTTAGCTCATAACCACTTCCAGCCACCTCACGAATCTACTATTTTCCCTCGTTAAAATGTTCCACAATTACCCCCGCCCTTCTCGTCTTTTTCCAAATATATAGCTTAAGTTAAAATGAAGATTAAGGGGTAGAATTGGAATTTCGGCTAACCAACGGCGGTAACTATTCCTTCCTGAAAGCAGACATTCCGCCATTAAAACCAGCTTCTTTAATTCTCACAATTCACCGTGATAAGGCTTACATCCTTCTGGATTATTTCCCACGCGCTCTCTCTCTCTCTCTCTCTCTCTCTCTCTCCACAGGCCACGGCAAGTTTTTTGTGCAGATCTTGAGCCATTGGCAGAACGCTGCTTGCAGCTCGGTCTGCATCGGAAAATGAAGGCTCGGCGTTTCGCTTCCACTGGATCCGTCGCCGGACTTACTGGCTTTGCCGTCTTGCTTCACTTTCTACTTTCCAGCTTCAGTTTCACTGCAACAGGTCAGTGAACTCAAACTTTGTTACTTATTCGTACCTGGAGGTTCCAGATTTAGCTGCTGGACGTGGTTTTGTTATCCGTTCACTAATTCATCCTGTTTATATGGTAGCTGGGAATGTTTAGAAAGTGTGCTTACTTCAACTGTTAATCTCTTCTTAGGGAATCGATTTTACTTTCTTCTTTATTGATTGATCGATTTTAAGTGAGGCGAGTGGTTCTTTTTGTTATATTGAACACTAATGAACGGATTTTAGAAAATGCTGGAATATATGAAGAAATGGCAATGCTTCTAGTTACATTGGGAAATCAACGAGTTATTTTTTGAAATCTTTGTTGCATTATAACGAGAGTTAGTGTTATTAGTAATACTGAATTTATTTGAAATTAGAAGAAGAGTGCGATGCATAGTTATAAAATATTATCTGAGAAATTTCGATGTTCGTCTTTTCCACTGGATCTCTTTGCAGAAGCCTATGATGCACTTGATCCAAACGGGAACATCACAATCAAGTGGGATGTCATGAGCTGGACTCCAGATGGCTATGTCGTAAGTTTCATATAAGAATCACACCTCTTTGGTTTTCTGCGACAGAGCTTTTTATAAATCTAATGGTTCATAACTGCCCCTTAATGGAGTATCTATTTGGTGACAGGCTGTTGTTACAATGTACAACTTCCAGCAATACCGCCATATTGCAGCTCCAGGTTGGACATTGGGGTGGACATGGGCAAAGAAAGAAGTAATTTGGAGCATGATGGGAGCCCAAACAACAGAACAGGGCGACTGTTCAAAGTTCAAAGGAAATATTCCTCATTGCTGCAAGAAAGATCCAACCGTTGTGGATTTATTGCCAGGAACTCCTTACAATCAGCAGATTGCAAATTGCTGCAAAGGTGGAGTCATAAACTCATGGGCCCAAGACCCAGCCAATGCAGCAAGTTCATTTCAAGTCAGTGTTGGTGCTGCAGGATCAAGTAACAAAACTGTCAAACTCCCCAAAAACTTCACCCTGAAAGCCCCAGGACCTGGATACACTTGTGGGCCAGCAAAGATTGTGAAGCCAACCAAATTTGTTTCTGGAGATAAAAGAAGAATAACTCAAGCTTTGAGTAAGTAAACTTGTCGAGGACTTGCACATTAAATATGGTTCAATGTAGAGTTCTAATGTTGTCTCCATGCACATAGATTTTATTAATGATATTTCATTGGGTGTTTCTGTCTGTGACTTTATAAATTGAATTGGTTGTCGAATGGACATAGACTCATCGTTTTTAAGTTTGACTTGGCATCTGACAGAATGCAAGTTCTACGTAAATTGATTTGACATGGAGTGGAATTGGAAGCTGTTACTAATTATTTATGTCATTTGATTGAATCTATCCTTGCTTTTCCTATGTCAGTGACGTGGAATATTACATGCACCTATTCTCAGTTCCTCGCTCAGAAGACACCCACTTGTTGTGTTTCCCTCTCTTCCTTCTACAATGATACTATAGTCAACTGCCCAACCTGCACTTGCGGATGTCAAAACAACACGGCAGGTTCTGGGAGCTGTGTGGAGTAAGTTACCCTTTTGCTTTCAACATTCTGTTTGTGGTTGGGGTGAAAGATTGAAACTATTTTACTCAACCCAATAATCTATCCGCTCAAATTATCTTTTGCAGTCCGGATTCTCCATATTTAGCTTCAGTAGTATCAACTCCTGATAAATCAGGCAGCAATGCACCCTTGGTTCAGTGTACCAGCCACATGTGCCCGATTCGAGTCCATTGGCACGTGAAGCTGAATTATAAGGATTACTGGAGGGTGAAGATCACAATCACCAATTTCAATTACAGAATGAACTACACACTCTGGAATCTCGTGGTGCAGCATCCCAATTTTGATAACATTACTAAATTATTCAGCTTTAACTACAAGTCGTTGAGCCCATATGGTGACCTAAGTAAGTAATCTCTGAAAATATCTATTCTTATATAATGTTGACCGGTCATCTCATTTGTGTGGAAAGAACCGGCATTATACAATTTATTTTTTTCTTAGTGGCTGGTAACTATGGTACTGTTCTGCAGATGATACTGCGATGTTGTGGGGAGTTAAGTTCTACAATGATCTGCTCAATCAAGCTGGCCCTCTTGGTAATGTGCAATCTGAGCTCCTATTTCAGAAAGACCAGAACACTTTCACATTCGACAAGGGTTGGGCTTTTCCAAGAAGAGTTTATTTCAATGGTGATAACTGTGTGCTGCCACCTCCAGATGCCTATCCTTATTTGCCAAATGCCAGTTCCAGACCAGCTATATCTCTACTTATGACCATCTTAATATCTTTGACATTACTGTTGAATTTTGCACAATAAGTTATATCTACGGGGAACAACAGACGCTATGGTCGCTCTGACACTCTAGATTTCCCACGAGCTTGTAGCAATCTAGTCTTTAGTGTCGATTTTACTGGTGCTTAAATCAAAGGCAATATGAGCTAGTTCCTGTTTGTGGATCGGTTATTTGGTTCAACTTCATTTTTGTTTAGATTTGGAGCAAATTGTGTTGTACAAATAGCTATTTTACATTTTCTATCATTTTGTTTGTATAATGGTTACAAAATATTGGTCGCTCGATGTAATAACTTATGAGACAGTTCAAATTTTCCATAGAGTGCCTGTTTTCTGCATAATTTCTTGGTTATTTAAGTTAGTGGAACATGATTGGAATAATTTCATTTAAACCAGCCTATGTATTACAAAACCAAAAATAGGATTTGGACTATCGAATCATGTCTATGCTGAATTTCTTGTGAAGCACACTGGTAAGAGAGGATATTTTTACTCAAGATAGTTGACTTCAGACAACTCAGAAACAACAAACATTGATTTATCTGGCGAGTATATATGTATTCTATGACCAATAATATCTGCATGGATACCTGTGTTCATTGTAGTTCTGCAGTTTCTCTCTTGAATTTTGAACATGTGCAGATCTTTGAAGTTCATCAAGCACGGGAAGAAGGACCACTGATTACAACAAAAACCAGACTATCAAAAACAAAGTGGCGGTGAATTTGGCTACTGCACTCGAGCCTCCAGGCGCAGAGTTGGGTAGAAACGGGTAAGATTCTGGTGGTGGCATCTGACATTCGTCGCCATTGAAGTATACTTTTCTAGGAAATGCCCAACCCTGCTTGAAGGTAAAGGTATCCTTATCCTTCTTCATTAGTACTTCAGATTGTACATTTCCAAATGGCCCTGCTTCCATTAATAGATCATTGTAGAATTTCATGCCATAGAACATGCCAGTATCGTCTGCACATTGAATTTTGTAGTGCAGTTATGTCAGTAAAGACTTGGATAATAACCTTACATTTACATTGAAAGCATAAGGATTTTCGTACTCACTGATGGATTCATAGGGAACAAGGGGCTTGTAGTCAAAACTAAAGACTTGAGTTACATTGTTCAGATTTGGATGCTGCACTGCCAGTGTCCACAGTGTATAGTTCATCCTATAGTTGAAGTTAGTGACAGCAACCTTTACACGCCAATAATCCTTGTAATTAATCTTTACGTGCCAGTGTACTCGAATAGGACACATGTGATAAGTGCATTGTAGTAAAGGTGTGTTATCCTTTTTAGGAGTGTTTAGTCCTTCCTTGTGCAATAGCTTTGAGCCACTCCTGCATAGTGGGATTAAAGGAAAAAAGATGTAGTTATGATCTCTAGCAACTATGCTGAAGATGAGTAAATTAGTTGAAAAGTAACGTTAAAGACATTTGACACAAGGTTACGGTTCCTTCTGATCGGACAACAAGAAGGTTTTCTGTAACAGCCCAAGCTAATTGTTAGCATATATTGTCCTATTTTGGCTCACCATTTCCATTTCGAGTTTTCCCTCAAAATTTTTAGAGCCAGACACTGGACGGTATGTCAGCAGGGATGTTGGTCCTCAAGGTGGTGGATTGTGAGATCCTATATCGGTTGGAGAGGGGAACATATTCTTTATAAGAGTGTGGAAGTCTCTCTCTAATAGACACGTTTTAAAAACTTTAAGGGAAAGCCCAAAGAGGACAATATTTACTAGCGGTGAGCTTGGACTGTTACAACACCTGACACAAGGTTACGGTTCCTTCTCATCAGACAATCTGATGTTCTAAGTATATTAATTTTTATACTGCAGACTACAGTCACGGTATAGCTGTTCCAAGGTGTGTAGAGGTTCTGATCTGACCAAGGAAATGTGATCTATTTTAGGATCAAGGAACGCATGAGTGCCAAACCCATTATTTTTCTTTTTAAATTGATTAATTTTTATGTTTGAGAGATTCATGAAACACGTTTGTTACCATATGGAGTAGAGAAAGAAGCCTTACTTTATACAATTATGTTTGTGTTGGCAGCCACAGGCGCAGGTTGGGCAAGAAGTGATCGTCTCATTATAGAAAGTTGAAAGTGATACGCAGCAAGTTGGGTTCTTAGAGGCCAGAAATTGTGAGTAAGTACAGGTTACATTCCATGTCACTGCATTAGATGGAGCATGAATCAACTAAACGAGGATGAAAAAAAAAAAAAAAAAAAAAAAAAAAAAGCTTACTCAGTGCTTGAGTTTTCCGGCGGCGATCAGGAGTGAGGAAGACTGTAGAAGGCACAACCTTTGCCGGTCCACATGTGTAGCCTGGTCCTGGACCGAGCAGGGTGAAGTTCTTTGGCAATTTCACAGTTTTGTTTGAAGTGCCGGCTAGCCCAACACTCACCTGAAAGGCGGAGACCGAACCTACTGGATCCTGTCCCCAAGATGCCAACACTCCACCCTTGCAGCAATTTGAGAATTGCTGATTGTAAGGAACACCGGGGAGCAAATCAACAACTACTGGGGTTTTCTTGCAGCAGTGAGGCACATTTCCTTTGAACTTGGAACAATCTCCTTGCTCTGTTGTTTGAGCTCCCACCATCGACCATATTACTTCTTTCTTGGCCCACGACCAGCCTAGAGTCCATCCTGGTGCATTAATATGGCGGTACATCTGAAAATTGTTCATTGTCACTGCAGCCTGTTGCAGTTCAAAAAAGATCTAAGGTCAGTATTTAAAACTAGCTTTACGACAGTGATCCTGTTTCACAATCTTACAACATATCCATCTGCCGCCCAAGATACTATATCCCATTTGATTGTTATGTTTCCATTTGGATCCAATGGATCGTAAGCCCCTGAATAGAAAGCTGTAAAGATCAGCTACAACACGAAGAGAATGTAAGTTCTTTCTTGTTTTAGCAGTTAAACAAGCACGTACCAGCTGAATAGAAAGCTGTAAAGATCAGAAGTGCTAAAACTGCAATTTTTTGCTGTCGACAGAGAATTTTGTGTAACATATTACTGTGGGTATTGACTTCCATGGCTTGAATGCTTTGCAGGATGAACAAAACTCAGAGGATGGAACTATTCTTTGGGGAAATTGAGCAATGAAGAGAGCAATATAGTTGAAGAGAATGCAAGAGGATGTGTCACCTTTCACCTACTGGTTGTTAGATAGATAATCCATGTGATATTTTTCAGCTACTTCTCTTAAATCCTTCATTTATCCTTTTCAGAATTTCCGCATCTTGAAGCAAAGCTTTAGAGATCTGGACATGACTTTTCAACTGTCAGTGTTCTTACACCAGAGCCTAGCAGATGTGCAGAACCCAGGAAATCAAGTTTTCTTCCCATTCAACTGCATTGAACCAGTAAGTCTCAGTTTAAATTATAAAAAAAATTTGTTTGTCAAGGATCTAATAAACACCCAACTGAAAGTTTTGGGACTCATTAAACACGTTTGAAAATGTTTGAAAATGTTTAGGGACTCATTAAACACGTTTGAAAATGTTTGAAAATGTAAAGATCTAACACTTCTTCCTTGGCCTAATCCATCACTGCTTGAATGTTCTTGAAATTCTTTGGAAATGGCTCAATCAAGCAAAAATTTCTTCACTCTCCTTCAGGATCACCTAAAGGAGATATCTTATCCACCATTTCTATGACAAAAAACTTAATTTATTATCCACTTCTAGTTTTTTTAACAAGTAGTTATGCTATCCTGATATTGACAATGATCTAACAGCTTTCTTTTATTTATGTTTTTTTTTTCCTTAAACAATATTAAATAGCTATTAGTTCCTTATCATTGTTGAAACCAAATTAAACCTATTGAGAGTGAGAGATTGCAACAACTATAATGCTTTTCCTTCATCTTCCCCTCCTTTTTTTTTTTTTTTCTTCTTTTTCTTCATTTTTTTATATTAATTATAACAAAATCATTCCGACTTACAAAAAGAATTCTATCATCAAATTTTGGGTAGATTTGAAAGATTATTTTCGAAGTAATTTTTTGTTATTGTTTTCAACATTATTTTTCTAGTCGATCAGTTCTGTCGTTCAAGTCATATGAAATGATTATCTTTCCTTGGTAGAATGTCTAAGGCAGGAATGAGTAGATACAGTTTTAAGAATTTGATAGTTAATAAATGCTTAATAAAAATTAATAATTAATAAATTATAAGAATAAGAAGCTGTCTCCTAACAAAACGCCTCTATATTAACGCACGTGCCACCTGCCGTCTGGCATATTCGAATGTTTTTCCCTTCAAATTCTTCACCCGCTTCGTTTACTTCTGTCTGAAAAACAAAATTCTGTCTCCCTCTAGTCTGTCTCTCTGTTTCTTGTTTTTTTTTTCCTACAGTCAAGCGTCAGCAATGGCGAACACCAAGCTGGGACCGGTTCTGAAAGATGAGCTCGACATAGTCATCCCCACCATCCGCAACCTCGACTTCCTCGAGATGTGGAGACCATTTTTCCAGCCCTATCACTTGATCATTGTCCAAGACGGCGACCCGTCCAAGACTATCAGGGTTCCTGATGGCTTTGACTATGAGCTCTACAATCGTATGGATATCAATCGGATTCTGGGCCCTAAGGCCTCTTGCATTTCATTTAAGGACTCTGCTTGTAGGTGCTTTGGCTACTTGATTTCCAAGAAGAAGTACATCTTCACGATTGATGATGACTGCTTTGTATGTTCAATCCCCAATTTTCTTTTACACTTTTGATCCTTCCCTTCTCTGATTAATGAACTTTGTGGTTTAATATGTTTTAATGCAGGTTGCTAAAGACCCATCTGGTAAAGAGATTAATGCACTTGAACAGCACATTAAGAACGTGTTGACGCCATCAACCCCATTTTTCTTTAACACCCTTTATGATCCATTTAGAGAAGGTGCTGATTTTGTCCGTGGATATCCGTTCACTCTCCGTGAAGGTGTCCCCACCGCAGTGTCTCATGGCCTCTGGCTAAACATTCCAGATTATGATGCACCCACCCAACTCGTCAAACCACTCGAGAGAAACACAAGGTACTTGTAACATCTCAAGCCTATGGGAGCAGATATTTTCTATCTTCCATTCAAGCTTTCTCTTAAAATTTTTAAAATGCGTTTGGTGTGGAAACCAATGTTTTGTTCCCCTCTCCTACCGATGTAGGATCTTATAATCCACCCCTATTTGGGGCCAACGTCCTTGTGTACACTCATTCCTCTTTTGTTCCCTTCTCCAATCGATGTGAGATCTCACAATCCACCCCATTCGGGTCCAGCTTCCTTGCTAGTACTTATTCCTTTTTGATGTAGGATCTCACAATCCAACCCCCTTTAAGCCAGCGTTCTCGCTGGCACACCATCCAATATTTGACTCTAATACAATTTTTAAAACGCGTTGCTAGGAGAAGGTTTCCACACCCTTATTAAGAATGTTTTGTTTTCCTCTCCAACCGATGTGAGATCTCATAATCTACCCTTCGGAGCCGTCAAGAGTGATCGCTTGCCAAACATCGTAGAGATTTGGGTTTCATGAAGTTTGCTTCTGAAAATCTAATGTTTTGACGGTATGAGGTTCACATCACAGGTACGTTAATGCGGTTCTGACGGTACCAAAGGGCACTCTCTTTCCCATGTGTGGAATGAATCTAGCATTCAACCGTGAACTAATTGGTCCCGCCATGTACTTTGGACTCATGGGAAATGGCCAACCCATCGGTCGCTATGACGATATGTGGGCTGGATGGTGTATGAAGGTATACACAATTTAACCATTTCTTCAGTAGTACAATTTTCAAGTCAAACCAAATGGTCGACTTTTTTGTAGGTTATTTGTGACCACTTGGGATTTGGAGTGAAGACGGGATTGCCATATATCTGGCACAGCAAGGCAAGCAACCCATTTACAAATCTGAAGAAGGAATACAAAGGAATCTTTTGGCAAGAACAGATCATACCCTTTTTCCAAACTGTTACCCTACCAAAGCATTGCGACACTGTGCAGAAGTGCTATATTGAACTCTCCAAGCTGGTCAGGGAAAACCTCAGTTCAGTCGATGAGTATTTTGTCAAGCTTGCCGATGCCATGCTCACTTGGATTGAAGCTTGGAATGAGCTGAATCCATCTGGAGAGGAAGCAACTGAGTTATCCAAGGTTGTTTCAGAATAGTTTACTCATTGTTTTTTACTTCTGTTTCAAGATTTAATGTTTATTACACTAAATGGTTAATTACTTACTATTTAAGATTTCTTTCAAATGAAAATTTGACTCATGCTGCTTTGCTTATCTCTCTCTCTCTCTCTCTCTCTCTTATCCGAAACATTTTTTGTTCTTCCCTTTTGACTTCTAAATGTGCGTTTAAATGGAGATTTTTTACTAAAATATATGAACACAAACATTTTATTATGTCTAGTGTCACAACTTCACTATGAGAAAGTATGTTGTGACCTCCACACATCAAGACCGACAAGGGACGACCCTCGAGTAGTGTCCATTTGGTCACGTTTAAGCTAAGATTGAGAAGTGTCATGATGCGGCTTAGGAGAACGATGCATCATCCAACACATCAAGAGTGTCTATTGAAAATAAGTAGGGACATATGTAAAGTTCGAGAGAACGAGGAGACACGAGTGTCGAAGACAAGCTCGAAGAGGGCTAGATAGGGCTTCAGGTCATAACCTCAGAAGTCGGGGCTTCGATATGAGTTTTGGCATGCTGCTCGAGAATTAAGTTCGTTTATATGAAAGATGAAAGCTCACCAAATTTGGAGTCAATCAGATACTCAACAGACTATACACGAGACCGTATGTCCGCTTGCAAAAAAAATGTCTACTTAATAAGGATTGAAAATGCCTCAAAATGTATTATAGATATAGTGTTGGCTCTCCACCACCTCTAGACCCTTTGGCCTAAGCAAGCTATCCCGTGGCACATGCGTATGTTACAGCATGCGCGAGCATCATGGGACAAGCGGTCTCATACGTCTTCCTTTTAAAAGGGTCTTTCAAGGAAAGTACCGAGCGGCATGGGTGTGCCGATATTGTGCCCCAATCGATGTGTCGAAATAGGACAACATCACGATATATGAGTCGTGTTGTTGGGAACCGAGATGACAATGAGATGCGATGTTATGTCGCAACGATTGAACATGTACGAACAAACGTGTGTGACCGAACAAGCTTGGACCCCGCACAAGCGATGTTCAATTGGCGAAGACAAACCTTGTCGACGATCTAACGAAGCCACGAAACTAGACAAAAAATGAATATGGGGCTTGAATTTCTCTTAAGGTTTGTCGTGAGCATGTCAAGATAACCGACCAGGGTTAGCTTAAAAAAAAAAAAAAAACATAGTAAAGTGGTAACATAAACTCCTCGCCCAATAAACAGTTCAGGATGCTTCAAAGCTATTCTTGATGTGAACTGTGATGCTGTTTTAATGTGAAGTTTTATCTGAACTCAAATCTAAAGAACAACTCTACTAGACAAGCTCAAATTTCAAAGCTAGCAAAAAGAATCTCTAAGTCGTTTTAACATTTGAAATTCATCTCGATCCATTCCTGTATTGGTACGATATTATCCACTCTACCCAAAGATTTCCTATCAGTAAAGACCCTGTCTACACTAACATGCCTGAACACGACTATGTTCACAGCTCCACCATTGTTCGAGAGCTAAAACGAGCCTTGGGCGTTATCACTCCAACTTCCACTAATTTGTTGAAATAGAAACCATTATCTTTTGCAAAAAAAATTCATGAGAAGGTACTACATCAAACAAGAAATCCCAGATCTCAAAGCTACATAGAAAAGTTTACAAGTCAATAATAGAATACTTCAAGAATGGTCCAAGAATTGCACCAACATATCAATGTTAGTTCTTATAAGAAAGGAACAAATCATGCTACTTTATTTTGAACTTCTCCTCAGCCTACCAACAGCACTCCCAGCAGCAGTGCATCAAAATCCACTGCATTCTTCACACTCAGCACAAGCTTTGTCCTGTCCTGTCGCCTTTTCCGATACGAATCAGTTGTCAAAACCGTCCGAGTCAATGCTGCTCAAGGATCTGAATATATGCCATCATTTACGACATAACAGAATTATCAGAGTTGTAATAACACATTGTTCATTCACAGTTCATATTGTTTAAGTGTATAAAGGAAAAGGAAAAGTATGGTCGTTCAGCTTCCCGAGCATTGGGCTTCGCCTAGCAAACACGACAAGTCCAGACTTCGAAGATGCATTCCATGCATCATTTAGTACGATGGAATCGACGTTACACAAAATGACCGTATACTCATTAACCCTCTCTAAGAAACTTAAAAATTAATACACTAAAGACAAGACCGATATCATGGCCGAAAGATGGTAAAGATGCTGCAAGGGTTGTCAGTATCTCTTCTAGTGAAGGTAATGTCATCACAAACCCTAGGAGACATTGTGAGATCCCACATCGGATGGGGAGGAGAATGAAACATTTTTTATAAGGGTGTGGAAACCTCTCCCTAAAAGACGCGTTTTAAAAACCTTGATGGGAAGTTCGAAAAAGAAAGCCCAAAAAGGAAAATATCTACTAGCGGTGGACTTAGACTATTACAAATGATATCAAAGTCCGACACCAGGCGATGTGTCAGCGAGGAGGCTGAGCCCCGAAGAGGGGTGGACACGAGGCAGGTTAAGAAGCAAATTTAAACAGCTAAAACCAAATACTTCCCAAAAGCCATCACAATTCAAGTACATATTTCAGGAATATAGTAAATCGGTGACAAGAAACTCATTTTTAGGTACCTGTTATTCATAAAATTTAAGTAATCCGGAGGCAGCAGAAAGCATTACTTTCTTGCTTCACCTGCATAGCTTGCCTCTGGTGCTCGACACGATGGAGTTGTGATGAAAGCTGCAACAAGTCAATGGTCGGGCCACCTTCACACGGATCTGCTAAATTTGATTCATGGAAAATCCGATTCGTAATTTCTAAGTTCACTGCATCGCTTGTTTCAGGTGTCGATATGGGACCAAGAGTACAACCTTCCGAAGCATTCAACCCTGACGAATTGAATTTATTCGACACGCCATTCACAGATACCTGGGAGCTTACTCCCATGAGCTTTTCAGAAAGTTGACTCATACTGTAATGATTTTGGCCATCAAGCAAGACCATAGGACGACCAATGGGAATCCCTGATGAATGAGTTGAGGAGTTTCGTGTTTGAGATGACAGAAGAGAGAGAGCACAACCGGAGTCTGATAATCCTGATAGTCGATCGGTTGATGCTGCACTATAAACACTGAAGTATTCACTGCCTAACGAGGGGTTGTGAAAGTAAGAACGAGGACTCGAATTCACGCCTCCTGCAATAAGAGGATATTGATTACTGTTCTCCTTGAACATATTTGTGGCGCTTGGATTCGGTTCGTTGTCATGGAAAGGGGGAACTTGGGCATCAATATCGTACGGAGAGAAGAGAGATTTCGAATGCAAATGGGCACTAGGTGCATGAACAGCAGACAAAGGCATATATTCATTCTTGTCTTCAATTTTCACAGTTCTACACCAATCACTTGCTCCATATTTCTCTGGATTCAAAATACCATTTGGTAATATCCCTTGGCAGATAAAGGATGTTGCTGTTAATGCCGTTCCTTGAAGCCTGCTACCTGTAGAGTTTACGAAATTGATGACTGAAACACAAACTAAAACAAAAATCGTGAATTTGAAAGCTGTATATCGATGCCGTAGGTAAGTTTGTGAACATGAAACAAATTTAGTACCATTATATGACTGGAGAAACCTTCCAGCCCTGCCAGAATTGATAGCCACCTGAGGCTTTCTCCGACGTTCGTTATGACCTGCAAGGCGTTTACGACAGCTGCGCTTACCATCATCAAACTCAGCTAGCAAATGAAACCTGGAAGTCAAAAGCAAGACCGTATTAGAGCAGCAATAATACTAATGATTTGCTCTGCCGATGGGGCTTCGGGGCAGCACGAGTATACAGTTAATGACGATGTTAATCAGCATTAATATCATTTTTTAGTGAATCCATGTGGATCTCCAGTGTGAACGATCTAAACGTACATTTATGGAACAATATGTAAAAGTTGTATGCTAAAATTTGCAATTTACTGCATTTTGGTATGTCAGCTAACTTTATATAGATCAACCAAAACTAATATGACTGATGAAAATTAACGAACCTGCTACATTGCTGACAAAACCTTTGTTCTATGCCATTCACAATAACTTTTGCAGTCTTTGAGTGAACTTCACACACTTTATGCCTCTTGTGGTAGTCTTTAGAGGAGCTAAGATCCTTGTTACACCCATAAACCTGGCAGAAATAAGTTTGAGAATTCAACCCGGAAGCTCGAACTCGTTTCGTAGGCATCGACGACTCAGATGATGCCAAAATGGGGGCTCCCTTAAAGAATTTGTAGCCATGAGCCTCCCTATGGTCAGCAAATCTCCCTAGCTTTAAATCAATGAATGAAGAATCTCGGCTGGTAGAGTCCACAACAGAGCCAGAGAGCTTAGATGTGGATTCATCCTCCCCCAGATATGCATTGGAGGAGTTCATAGCTGGATTTAGATATCTTCCACCAACGACCTTGCTACTCAAAATATCACAAACTGAGTTGTCTGCTAATTGTTTCCCTATCATTTCAGGGAATATGAATTCCCCAAATCCTTGATTCTCAACATGTTGAGCTGTTGGTAACATGGTGCTACCAAAGTTGCAGGGGTTTTTGAATTCCCAACCCAACAAAGAATCTTTGTTCCTTGCAAGAGAACTTGTAGGCGAATTCATTTCATCAGACATACATCCCTTTCCCTCAGAAACATAGCTCCAAGACTCCATTACAGAAACCAAATTACCCAAAATTACCCAGACTTGTTCTGTTCACTAGTTAAACATGGAAGATCTTTCATAATCACTGTTCAAAACCTCAAAAACCCCACATGAACACAAGGAGAAGGAAACCCATATGTCGTTTCCAGCTCCCCAACACAACATCATGCCAAAAAAGCCAAATGGGTTTGTGGGGAAAAAGAAGAATATATCAAACAGAAACTGAGCTCAGAACAAAATCAACCCCAAAACTGTGAACCCTATGAGAATCATCAAAACGAAAAAGAAGAAGTAAAGAACAGAAAAAGGAAGAATAAGGTGAATGCAGAGAAAGCCCCAGAGAAAATACAGAGAAAAGATGCAAAAGCAGAGAGACCCAAGTAGTGAAAAGGCATGAGGGGAGGTATAAGAAGAGAAACAATAAAGGTTACTGAAAATTTGGGGTTTACTTTACCAGTGCACTGTTGATTATGATAAAGGGCTGAAATGGGGTTTACTTAATGTCGAAGATATTTATGGTGTGCTACACAAACTCCATGGAAGAAGGGGGTTGTGGCTGCCATTTCTGGGGACAGAAGAAGAAGAAGAAGAAGAAGAAGAAGAAGAAGAAGAAAAGGGATTATAAGGTAACGGTTTTAGCTTTGCAGAGCAGTCGTTTTCCCCAAACGAGTTATTTGGTGTAATATGAATATGAAAAGGCAAATAAAAGAAGAGAATTTTTTGTCTTCGCGAAGGAGGCAAAATATTGATTTGATTCCCCCCATTACCCTGCTTTGGGTCAACGATTATTACCCAAAAAACTCTCCTTTTCTTCTCTCTCTTTCTCTAATCTTTGTTCTTAAACACTCCTTAAACCTTCCCTAATTTCGTCCCTAATTCTCCTACTCCATTTCCTTTCTTCAAAACCTTTCAAATATTAACAAAAACACCCTTTCAAAAGGGTAGAAACCTTCCCTACCATAAAGGTGTGAGGGGAAGTTCAAAGGGAAAAATGATAATATCTGCTAGAGGTAAATATGTGTCTTTACATCTACCTCTGTTTTAAAAAATAAATAATAATAATATTATTATTAAAAAAAACAAGTGAATTATTGATGAAGTTTGAAAAATGAAGATGGGAAATAAATAAGGTGAGAGAGTGGCAAGTAATTAGGCATAAAATTGCGTAGTCAACACCAACAAAATCATAAATTTTCTTTTCTTTTTATTTAATTTAAGATATTTAATTATGAATTTAATTTTGTGATGTTGGGATCTAGAAGACAGGCCCCACATCCAGCACTGTCATTTATTTATTTATTTATTATTTTTGACATTTTTAAAAACAACCTTTTAATCTTATAATAATAATAATAATAATAATAATAATAATAATAATAATAATAATAATAATAATACACTTCATATATATTCTCCATCCATCGCTCTCTCTTCTCAGACTCCTTTGTCCTTTCGCTATCAGACATTAATAATCAATTAATTCCCAATTTTTAGATTTTTCAACCAAAAATATTAAATTTATTTCAAAAATCAAATTTTATTATTTTAATTACCATTTTCATTCATCATTTTTTTCTCTCAATTTACTTAGAAATAACTAGGCGATAATTTTAATCTTTTTTAAAATATTTATTTTATTTACTCTATATAGAAATAACTACAAATTATTAATAGATTATATAGTTTAATTGATATATAAATTAATACTTACCCATAAAATTATAAAGTTGTTTTTACGTCATCCCATTGAAAGTTTTGATGGTCAAATTTTGTTTTTTTTTCTTAATTTATTCCTCTATGACAACTCATACTATCATTTAATTTTTAAATATTTATGGTCTCAGAGAGAAAAAAGAAAATTATTTTTTTTAATAAATATAATTACCTTTGCTACTGTGGTTGAAGTTAAGTTATAAATGAGGTGTTGTGTGATATTTATTAAATTAATTTAATGTTGACTAAATTAGAGTTATTAATCATACTTATATGTAAATTTTAAATTTAATTTAATTTCAAATTTTGTCCCAGAATAAAACTTTATTTGAAATAAGGCATCGAAATCAAATCTAAATATTTCATAGCTTTCGATTATATCGTTACACTTTAACTAATTTATCAATATTATATTCATCGTCAACTCAATAAACCATACATAAATAAATAATTTTTATTATATATATTTAAATAAATAATTCATTTATAAAATTTCAAATCAATCATAAATTTTTAATTTTATATCTAACCCGACACATTTAATTTTGTATCCAAAGATAAATCTCTATAAATTTACAAAAACATTTGAAAATTGAACCCATTTTTGTCCAAGATTATATATATATAAATAAAAAGTGATTCTAATTTAAATAAATTTTTTTTACCACTCGTTGGTCAATTTTATTTTAAACAGCCTTAAATTTACCACGTGAAAGATATGACCACTCGTTTATTGGTTGGTTGAAGAAGTGGGCCATCTCTAAAATAATAATTTAAATATTATTATCTGGTCCCTCACCTATTTTTACTGTTTACACTACTTTTATTTACTAAAGTTAAAAATAGTTAATATAATTCTTCACTTATAATTAATAATAAATGTTAATTTTTATTTTGCACTCATCCTTTTTATTTATAATGACTTATTTCCTATTATATAAAATCAACTCCACCAATTAACCCATATTATTATAATGATATTTAATAATAATGTTTTTTTTTCAAAAACTTTATTTTATATCCATAAAGAATAATTAGGTGAAATTATTTTATTTTAAAAATCCAACAAACGTTCATTGATTAAAATTAAATATAAATTTTAATTTTATGGAAAAATATGATTTTTTTTTTTTTTTAAAATATAAATAACATGAACCAACTTCTCATAAATAAATTAGAGAAAAAGGAAAAATAATTAATAAAAAAAATTATGGAACCACAAAATAAGAAATATGGATGTAATTGAAGAATCTAACTAGAATGAAATTTTTTGTTCTCGTTCCCATAATGTAAATAGATACAATTTTCCATACCAAATTTAAAAGTATAACGTGTTACGTTTTGTGATTATCAAATTTGTCCCTATCCTTAAAGTTAATTTTTAATGGTTCTAAATAATTTAATTTAATATTTACGATCATTATCTTCAAACGAACGTCGTGATCTAATCGAGATGTGTATTCTCTATTAGAAGACGTTTCTCGTTTATCCTTGTATATTGCGTCTTATCCACAATGTCAATTAAATGGCGTGTATCACTATTAGATATAGGCTCGATCGAAACCGTTGTTAAATGTAGACTAGGTTGAAACTCGACATACAAACACAAAATATAAAGTACAAAATAAATTGAATGCAATGCAATTAATTGAGGATGGAAGCCCATATTTCCATAGATAAATATATATATATATTTTCTCTCTTAATAAAACAAAAGAAAAAAAAACTTTAAATTAGAATAAACCGGTTTTGAAGGTTTCCTGTGTCTATGGACCAAACTAACAAGTTGGTAGTTACATGGCCCACCAAACAGCTGCCTTTGGTCCTCTTCATGAATGGCTTTTAATGATATATATATATATATATATATTTTTATATCATAAATAAAATACAAATATTGTATTAATTTTATTTAAAAAAAATGATATATAATTTGATGATATTATTTTCGTACCCATCGTCACCTCTTGACAATCCTAGTATTTAATTTGTTTTAAAAAAATATTAGTAATATGTTAATGAATTATTAGTTTTATTATTTTGGATTTGAAAAAGGTGAAAATGATGGGCATACCCCATTCATTCAAGTGTCCACCTCAAGAATATAATGAAAGAAATATAAGGAGAAATAAGTAGAAATGGGGCCCACACCATTTAGTTCCCCATGAGGCCTCTTTGTGCTGTGTTGTCTCATTGATCTTTCTTCCATTACAATAATGATGCTCCCTTTCTCCTTTTCTTCCCCCTTTGATGAGAAATAAAGGTAGATGGAAAGATTGAAAGGACAACTTGTCTTACTCTTCAATAATTTTCTCATACCCCATTCTCTTTCAGCTCGTATACACCTACTCTCTCCATCCTAGAGCCGACAATTCCTTCACTCGTCCATCCCGAGCTCCGCTGCTGCTGCTGCTGCTGCTGCTGCTGCTGTAGCCCTACCGTACTCGCGCTTTAACAAACGACGATTCAAGTTTCGAGACTTGCCTCTTTCATTCAGTTGGTGTTTTGGACTTGATTGTTATTGTTCTCATTGTTGGATGATGAAAGTCCCACATCAGTTAATTTAGGGAATGGTATGAGTTTATAATCTAAGAATACACTTTCCATTGGAATGAGGCCTTTTGGGAAGCCCAAAACAAAGCCATAAGAGCTTATGCTCAAGTCGCGTTCGTCTAACACTCATATCCAACTTGATTTCGACCTCAATTATCAATTGCCGAATACTTCCTCCACTCCACTTTATTATTCTTTAATTAGTTACTGTATTAAAACAAAAAAAAAGGGTTTTGAATTGGTGAGCCCAAGAAGTTGAAGCCCATTAATGAACCACCCACCCCTACAACGAGAAATGGTTTTTTTAAATTAAAAAAATGTTCAACATTGGCATGTGGTCACATATATCTTAAACAACCGTAACTGTTGGGTTGTTTTTAGGTCTATTTTCGACACATTCAAATCGGAGGGAGGGATATTTTGGGAATGAGCCAAATTCCCAAACAAGTATATCCAAACCGGACCATACTCGGACATCAAATTTTAACACCATTTTATCTCGGAATCCTTCCCAACTTGTTTTATATTATATTCAGCATGACTCAACTATTTTGTTCCCGTAGTTAGATTTTCATTTTCAAAGGTAGGTCTTACGAACTAGTGAAAAGTAAATTTAGGCGAGCGAGATTAGTTCAAGGAACCGATCGACTATAATGACTAATCCTTGCTTTTGTCTGAACACATTTTAGCCCGATAATTTTGAGTGACTCGATCAAAACCAGTTGCATTCGGCCAGGTAGTTAACCCCAGTTTGTGCCCTTCACATCATACACTTCTGGTCTGTAGTTAAGGCTCTTAAAATTTAAAAATCCCCACCTCAAGATTTAGTTGGAAAAGACTCCATATTTTCTTGTGGGTTGTTTGGCTACAGTCTTTCCCTACTCTTTCTGAAGCTGGGATTGTAAACCATGCCAGATTAGAAGAGCTTGTCATCGCTTAGTTGTTTCAGGCTACAGACAACGGTCCTCAGAAACCAAACAGGAAGCTAAGGTTAATGTTGTGTCGGCGGCAGGGCATGGTTTGTTTTTCACAGCACCTGGAGAATATATTTTCTTTCTTCGTTTCTCACGTTGTGCTTGACTCTCTCTCCATCTCTACTGTCAATCTGTCACTCTCTCTCTCTCTCTCTCGTGCTCTTTATATCTTTGATCTCTTTTTCATGTCTTGCGCTCTCTCCATATTTGATCTCTGGCTGCACTCTCTCCATCCTTCTCCAACTCTTGTTTCTTAAGTATCTCCCCGTCCCAATTAGACAACCCAACCCAATTTAACATACGTTGTGAATCTTATTAGATTATTCGAGTAACCCACTAAAAACTTAAAAAATAAATAACTAAAAGACTAAACCAAAACAAAATTTCAATTTAAAGACAAAGATATTATTTTTATCCAAAAAAGAAAGTTGG